CCCTGCTGGACAGGAGGAGTCAGGGCGCCGCTTAGGGTTTCTCCAGGCCGGCGCGTCCAGCTCATGATCCGCTGTGAAACTCAGTCAGGCAGCCTAGTTCATAATTAAAGAAACTGCAAACCGAAACAACGAGGCAGCATGCTTCACTTATAAAACTTCTAAAGCCGGGAAAAATGTAATATTTTATTATAATCAATACTGGTGAACGTGCAACATCCCTGGAAGGCAACTGTCAGTCAGTATCCATTAAATATAAAATGAGAAAATCTTATGGATATTCTTAATATTGTTTATCAAAGATATGCATTACAACACGGTTTCTAATAATAGCAAAAACATTGGACTCAGCCAAAATAAATTATGGAACATCATTAGAATAAAATAATACAAAAATGCATATATGCGTTGGTATGGAATTATCTTCCAGATATGTTCATATAAAAGCATGGTCCAAAACAGTGGGCAAGTATGACTCCTTTTATGTTAAAAAGTAAAACAAATTGGGAGATAAAATATATATGTAGATGATTATATTAAGGCATATGTGTAATATTTTTTTCTGGAATGAATCCAAGAAGAAATTAACAGTATGGGGGAGAGCAATTGTGGAGGAAGAAATGGGGAAGAGAAACTTTCATTTTCATTTTGTTTTTGTATTATTTATGATCTAGCCTTCTACATGCCAGTAAAATTCTTGTCATAAGGTGATAAGTGGAGCCTAAAAAATTCAATCAAAAGTCAGTGATGTTACTGAGAAGTTAATGAAATGACCCACTCACTGATCCTATGCAATTTGCTAGTACTGGCTGCAGAATCCAAATCTATTTCTGGTCCCAGCTGTACCTTAGCGCCATCTGGTGGAAGTTGTCACTTCCACTCCAGACTCACTGGGGCTTCCAGCAGCAACAGTGATTTCAGAAACATTCCTGTGAACGAATGCCTGCTTGTCACAGATCTAGGGAGATTGGGACAAGAGTATTCTGGAGATGGAATACTTCCACTTCTCCACACCCAAGAAAGCAGGTCTCAGCATTCCAAATCCACACCCCCCTAAAAGAATAGGAAATTTAGCACACATACATACACCCCAATAGAGAACCGGATAAGTGGAGAGCATTTTGTTTTCTTCTGTCTTTCTCTGTATTAAATATATACATATATTTTTTAATTAATCATTTTTTCATTAAATGAGAACGTTCTGTGTTAAAGACATGTGTTGGGCACAGCCTTTGAGAACCTATCATGTTTACTTTATAACGGAGGCATGCATAATGCCTGGCACATAGTAAATGTTCAGTGAGTCTTTTTTGGATGAGTAAAGGGAGCCCCAAGTTGGAAGAGCTCAATATCAAGAAGACAAATGCACAAGATTAGCCAAAGCAGAGGGTGAAAGGTGGCATAGGAGTTAATGAAATATAAACAAAATGCTACGGGGTTCAAAAGAGAAAGCAGCCCTAGCTGGTTTGGCTCAGTGGATAGAGCGTTGGTCTGTGGACTGAAGGGTCCCGGGTTCGATTCCAGTCAAGAGCATGTACCTCAGTTTCAGGCTCCTCCCCGGCCCATGCGGGAGGCAACCAATCCTTGTGTTTCTCCCACATCAATATTTCTCTCGTCTTTCCCTTTCTCTTCCACTCTCTCTAAAACTCAACGGGAAAATATCCTCTGGTGAGGATTAAAAAAAGTAAAGAGAGAAAGCAATCACATCTAGTTAGAAAGATGTAGGAAGACTTCATGCTGACATATTTGCTGGTCCTGGAGGACATTTAGGATTTAGATAAGTAGAGAGGTCAATAGGGCATTCCAGGCAGAGGAAAAAGTCATGAACAAAGGCACTGATGTTATAAAGAGTGAGAAGCAAATAAACTGATGATCAAAAATAGACCCAGAGTCATAGAAGCATAAACAGACTGTTGAACCTCAGAGGGAAGGCAGAGGAGGGTGGGTGGGAAGAGATCAACCAGTGAACTTGTCTGCATATCTGCATAACCCATGGACACAGACAATGGGGTGGTGAGGGCCTGGGGGCTGGGGGAGGATGGGAGTGGGCTAGAAGAGGTTAATGGGCGGAAAGGAGGACCTATGTAATACTTTCAACAATAAAGATTTTTAAAAAATAAAAATAAATAAAAAGCAATAAATAAATATAATCAGAAGGTTAAAAAAAGAAGGAGGAGGAGGAGAAGCAATTGGAAAGAACAAGTCTGGTTAATCCAGTGAGGTTAAAATAGTATGGCTATATTTCTAGGGGTGGAACCATGCAAGTAATTGGAGGTGAGAAAGGATAGAAGCTGTGATATTAGAAGCTACACAAAGCTAAAGAAGCTGAGGGTGACTGCAGAGAAGGAAAGAAAATATGAGCCAGGACCTAAAGTCTCTGAGAAGGTAGTAAAGTGTCCTAGTAGTTGGAGGTTAAAAGAGGAGAGGCTATTATATTACTCACTTGGAAGGTACAGGACAAAGCAAAGATCGCACTGACAGTCAGGAAATGTGAAGGAGTGCTCTCAAAGAAAGTGGCATCATGAGCGTGCAAAGAGCACAGGATTTTTAATCAAACCACACTGACTTTGAATCCTGGCTGATACTTTTTAGCTATGTGACTTTGGGAACATCATTCCATCTCTTTGAGAATCAGTTTCCTCATCTCTACCATGGGGGATATTAATGACCGTTTCCCAAGCACTCACTATGCCAGAGTTAGAAATAATACATGTAATTAACTCAACACAGTCTCTGGCACATTGAAGGCATTCAAGAAAAGACAGGTAGGAAAGAAAGAGAAAAAAGAAAGAAGGAAAGAAAAAAAGGAAGGCCCTGGCCAGTTTGGCTCAGTGGATAGAGCGTCGGCCTGCAGACTGAAGGGTCCCAGGTTCAATTCTGGTCAAGGGCATGTGCCTTGGTTGTGGGCACATCCCCAGTGGGGAGTGTGCAGGGGGCAGCTGATCGATATTTCTCTCTCATCAATGTTTCTAGCTCTCTATCCTTCTCCCTGCCTCTCTGTAAAAAAATCAATAAAATATATTTAATTTAAAAAAAAAAGAAGGAAGGAAGAGAAAGAAAGAAGGAAAGAAAAAGAAAGAAAGAAAGAAAGAAAGAAAGAAAGAAAGAAGAAAGAAGAAGATAGAAAGAAAGAAAGAAAGGAAGAAGAGAGAGAGAGGGAGGGAGAGAAAGAAAGGAGAGAGGGAGGGAAGGAGGGAGGGGAGAAGGAAGGAAGGAAGGAGGGAGGAAGGAGGGAGGAAGGAAGGAAGGAAGGAAGGAAGGAAGGAAGTAAGGAAGGAAGGAAGGAAGGAAG